GTCAAATTATTTTTTCATGCTTGGGAATTTTTCTGGTACTACTTCTGTGAACAGGATTTTTATGTCTTTTTGTGGTACCTTCTAATTTTTCTTTGATTCAGATTAATCTTTTGTTATTCTTTGCATCATCTAGTAGCTGTGAGGTTGATTTTTTTTTTTGTGGTCCCTTGCTGTTTTAAAAAATTCTTTCATTTGATGATTGCTAATCACAAGCTTGTCTTCTAGATCTGATATTCTAAATTCACATTAGTTGATTCTGCTGTCTCTACTTTCAATAGACTTTTTAATCTCCTGGATATCTGTTTGAATCTGTTTTATAGAATCTCGTTCTTTCTTATGTCAGCATTCGTGTTATCTATCACTTTCTTAAGCTCCTCTGATCTAGATTCACTAACCACATCCTTCATTATGGTCATCATCTCTGTAGTGATCTGTATAATTATTTCTGATATTTTTTCTACAGCCTCATTTAATCTGCTTTGTTACTCCTTGGCTACCATTTTAGAAAGTTCAGCTGGGTGGCATCTGATTTCTGCCACCTCAATTTCCCCTGGGTTTGCTTTTGTCAAGCTAGATGTCTGGGTTTGCATCTAGCTTACATGTTTTCTCATTCTCTGTTTTTAAAAATTTGTTTTCTGCATTGAGGTTTGTAAATTGCTTATGGTAAGTAGCTTCCCATCCAAGTACTAACCAGGCCCAACCCTGCTTAGCTTCCGAGATCAGACGAGATTGGGCGCGTTCAGGGTGGTATGGCTGTAGACGGTAAGTAGCTTTATTAGTAATGTTGGGGCCTCTAATGACTGCTTTTCAGAGATGTCTTCTAGGTGTACCTGGCTTTGGCTCTTGAGTTTGTCCCAAGATCCTGCTTCTTTTAATTTATTAGGGATGAGAAATTATTGTCTGTTTGGTCTGGTACTCAGTTCTTTGATACTGGACAGTGGTATATTTATGACCCCCAGATAATCATGATTTTGGCATACATGGAAGAACAACTGATTGCAACAACTATGTCTCCTTGGCTAAAGTAGTACAACCAGTATTAACAATAGCATCAGGCACATAAAAATGAAAACTTGTGATAACTCTTAGTTTGCCACCTTTAATCATAGGTGCAAGATTTATAGTTGTATAACAAAATCTGAAAGAAACCAGAAAATTATAGACAATAAATACCCCTCAGTAAAATGATTTTACCCTCAGGGAGAAAATTTAAAGGGATGAGAGGAAAAAATAGAAAAATAAAAGAAGAAAAAGACTAGAAGCAAGACTGAAGAACAAGCCAGGTGTGGTGGTGCATGCCTGTAATTGCAGCACTCAGGAGGCTGAGGCAGGAGGATTGTTGCAAGTGCGAGACCAGCCTGGGGTACAAAGTGAGCTCAAGGCCAGCCTGAACTACATAGTGAGACCCTGTCTCAAAGAGAGAGAGAGAGAGAGGAAAAAAAAAGGACAAAGGAAGATTACTCAAGATTTGTGAAATTGATGAGGAAGACAGGACGGAAAGAAAAAAGGAAAAAATATAAACAAGAACAAAACAAAACAAAACAGCTAAAATCAGTGTTAACGTTCATGAAAAAAGACAAAACAAGAAAGAAAAGAAAAGGAAAAAAAACAATGCCAAAAAAAAGTTTCTCTGTGATTTCAAGCCTGTGGTTTTCTCTGAGATCTATAATTTTGTGGTAGTTTCCAATTCAGAGTGTGTCTCTGCTGTCACTGGTAGACAAAGGAGGCAGATACAGCCCAGATCCATGCTGGATGATCCCAGCATGCCTGCAGTAGGATTAGCATGGAGTCCTTCACAATCCCATGAGCCTGCAGTAGGAATAGGGCGGCGTCTTGATTCTGGCACTTTGAACTCCACAGAAATTCAGGCTGATCCTGGCTTCTGTAAGGTGGAGGCCTGAACTGTTCAGCTCTGGGTGTCCCTTGCAGCACGTGTCTTGCAGTTGTCCCTCATCCAGTCAATGGGAGTCCTGAAATGAAGCCAACCCATGGTTCCTGAGGTGAAGCCAGTCCAGGGTTCAGTTGGCCTTTCCCTAAGATGGTGCCTGGTTAAGCACCCTCTCCAGGGTCACGGCATATGCTTGGACTGGAGCCACTTACCTGCTGTTGTAGTGCACCGCATCCACTGCTGTGTTCCACTGCTGTGTTTCTCCCTGGAGGCCTCTGGAGCCACCCACCCTCACTTCATCTCAGTAGCTTTGAGCCTCCTCTGTGGTGCTGCGAGCTGCGAGCTGGGAAGAAAGTGCAGTTTGCTCTGCCTCATTTTTTTGCACTGAGGTCTGCCTTTTCACTTTTCTGTAGGCTCAAATTTTCCCTTCAGATCTTCCTGTGTCTCAGGGATCTCTTTCCTTCCTCTTTTCCTTCCCAAAGTTGTTATATTCCAATGTCTGGATTCTGAGACTCAGAGAGGTTGATTTGTTACTGTTTACCGCTCCACAATCTTGCCAAAAGTTGGTTTCCCATGTAGTATACAAAAAAGTAAAGAAAAAAGAAAAATGGAAATGAAGGAAAAGTAAATACAATAGGAAAAACTAAAGAGAAAACCAAGGGACTTAAGGAGTAGTGGATCTTGGTCAGAGAGTTCTCAGGATTATTGTGCAGGAAGTCCCAGAATGGAAGATATGCAATAGGCCTAGAAGAGAGGATGAAGAAAGGACAAAAAGCAGAAATTACACAGGGTTGTCTGTGAAAATTTTGTTGCGAAGCTTTTGGAGGTTAGAAAAATTTAGAGATAGTTACAAAGAAAATGAAATGAAAAAGAAATCTCCATTTCAGATACAGTGAACAAAACTATTATGTAAGAAAGGAAATAATTATTGGATACCTCTTGGCTGAGCAGCAGAATACTTACACAGTCCTAATTGAAAACAGTTTTAATGAAAAATGATTAATTCATTGGGTTGGAAGAAATACAGAATGTGTACTGAGTTCAATCCTTATCTCACATATAGTTTGAAATAAGGTAAATATTAGATGACATAGTTAAAAGGATTTAAAATGATTGGATTTAGGGAGCAAGATTGGGCCTGGGGAGAAGTTGACAAGCCTTACTTTTAGAAAAACAGCTAAAGAACACTTGCAGATATTGCCTTGATAAAAAGTTAGATGGAAAGAATAAGATAGATTCTTCAAGCAAATTTTAATTGGGGTCACCCTTCCCTGAGGTAATAATATCAAAAATCAATTTTTTTCCTTATTGCTTTTGAATAATGGTGATCTGTAAGGTTACATTCAAGTGGTAATACATGATTTAATTGTTTTCTGACTGGAGGGGCTCTCACCAAATCATCTTGGTTCTTCTTTGATAACCAGAGGTCCCCTCATTCTAAATGCTTCGGGACTCTGCCTTCCCTCTTCATGGTGCCAGTAATCCTAAACTCATTTAGGTAATTAGGATTCCCTTATCTTTGCTTCAGGAATGCCAATAGGGTAGGGATTTCTTTTGCTGATTTCCTACACTTTTCTCTCTTCTCCTTCCCATCCTTTCCATCTCATAGAAATTCAAAGCAGGCACACAGCCACTCGAATTTTCTGCTTTGCCTTTGGCTGAGGTTTTAGCTGGATAGCTCTGCTTTAGGTGAGCATCCCAGTTAAACAGGCATCCTGTTTGGTGCTAGTAGCACAGTGACATAGTTCCTGTCCTCAAGGAATTAATAGGTGAGTAGGGGAGCCAAGAGGTAAATGAGTAAGTAGGTAGTTGAGTAACAGTCTTATACTCAAAGTAGTTGGGCCCGTGGGCCACCCAATCATGAATAAAAAATATTGGGGGAAAGAATACTGAAAGTTCTAAAAAGTAAAACTTGAATATGCTATACACTGAGTCCTATGGTAAATCCAACCAAATGAAGTGGTGTATGTGCCTTACATTAGATATTGTTAGTAATCTATAGATTTAATATGTATGAGGAAAGCTAAGTGCAGTTGTGGACACTTGTAGTCCCAGCTGCTTAGGAGGCTGAGAGGTAGATCCATTGAGCCCAGGAGTTGAAGGCCAGCCTATGCAAAATAGTGAGACCTTGTCTCCAAAAAATAAAATAAAATAAAGTATATGAGAGGATGTGCATGGGTTATATGCAATGCAAATACTATAGCATTTTATATAAGGGACTTGACCAACTGTAGTGTGTAGTATCCTTGAGATGTCCTGGAACCAGTCCTCCAAAGATACTGAGAAATGACTATATATTCTAAATAAAGCACCTATCTGCTTTCTGCGCAGTGAACATTGTGTATAGTGACGTCAAATCTATATAACTTGGTGTATGTGTGTGTGTTTTTTCTTGTAGCTAATAGACCAGTTAAAGCCTGGTGGAAGATTGATATTGCCAGTTGGACCTGCAGGTGGAAACCAGATGTTGGAGCAGTACGATAAGCTACAAGACGGCAGCATCAAAATGAAGCCTCTGATGGGGGTGATATACGTGCCTTTAACAGATAAAGAAAAGCAGTGGTCCAGGTGGAAGTGATTTTCTCTTCTCCTCTTTCTTCTTCCACACATGCAAGGTGAAGGCGTGTGGATTTTAAGACATTAAACTACAAGAGCTTTTTTTTGGTTACCACCTTCATGCTACCCCATTAAAACATCAGAAATTCATTACATTAAGTATGAAATATTTTGCATGGTCTGCTCTTTTTTGGTTTAATTTACGTCATTGGGAAAGGGAGGGTGAGACTTGGTTGGCACAGAGGTTTTTGTCTTTAAAGAGACTTTTAGTCATAATTTAGTATTTCCTAAAGATATTTTATTCATTATCAGCCACTGTTTTTCTGTATGTGTAAGTCATTTTTATAGCTGCTGTGTGGGCAAGGAAACTTCAGTCTGGGAAAGGAAGGGGCCATCATATGCTGCCTCGTTCAGTCCCTATTTTACCATTGTTATAAAAAGAAGGGGAAGATACAGTTGTCCCAGTTTTCAAGAGTGTCAGAATCCCAGAGAGGATGTTCTACCTTTTGGCTTGATTTTTCTCTCTCACTTAATTTATCTTTGTGACACCTGCAAATTTTATATTCAGGGGGCTGGGGATTTAGCTCAGCGGCAAAAGCGCCTGCCTGGCAAGCGCAAGGTCGTGAGTTCGGTTCCCGGTACCGGAGAAAAACCAAAAAAAAAATAAAAATAAAAAAAAAAAAAAATTTTATATTCAGCCATCAATTTAGGGCCACTGTGAGGAATAAACATCTCACCATCCTATATACTAGGCCAGCCAGTTGATAAGTTATTCTGGCTAAGTTCCTGGGGAAGGGTGGTATTCTGTAAGCTCCCCAGTGAGTGTCCAGGTCTCACACACCCACCCCGAGGGCAGCAGCATGCAGCGCAGCACCATCTCACACAGCATGGCTCCTTAGAAATACGACTGCTTTGGTTTTGTGTTGCATAACCTGACTGTTTTGTTTGAAGCCAAGATTTCTCTTCACCTTTTCTCTCTTGTCTACTCCCTTGAGGTGGAGGCAGTGAGACCAGTGCACAGAAGTGTTATTAGCTAAGGCTACTTGAAGTTAGAAGCCAAGATAAGTGAGGCTTTACACTTTCCTTCTCTTAGGGTCTATTTTCAGTAGACAAAATGATTCTTGTTTTAAGATGATCATCTTCGTAGTAAACACGTGGTAATTATAAGTTCAATTTTGTTTTCTGTAAAGAGGAAGGGCAATTTTAAAATGAATGTTTAATTGCAGAAATGATAATGAATCTAATTCAGTTTGTGCAAAACAATGTTTTACTTTTAACTAAATGCATCTTGGCCTTTTCCAAGATAGCTTACTAGGAACTGCATTTTATTCTTCATTATATAGTTACAGCTATTTTCTTGGAAATCTTTTTTTATTTGTTTGTTTGTTTTTGATTTTTGCAATAGGGTCTCACTATATAGTGCAGGCTGGTCTTGAACTTGCTTATGTAGCCCAGGTTGGCCTCAAACTCACAGCAATCCTCCTACCTCAGCCTCTCAAATGGTGAGATTATAGGCGGGAGCTACCAGACCTGGCTATTTTCTTTGAATTCAAACCTGGAGCACAACTTATTTTTTTTTTTCTGAGACAGAGTCTTGCTATATTGCCCACACTAGCTTTAAACTCAAGGTGCCCCCTTGTCAACCTCCCCTTATAGGTTGTGCCACTGTGCTAGCTTAGCACAACTACTTCTTTTAAAAATACTTTTTAAAAAACTTTTGGCTTTTTCAGTTAGAGTCAGATGTACAGTAGTTATTAACACTAATTACAACCTTCATTTTGCTTCTAATTTGCTTCAAATGCTACATAATTGTGTGATTATCTTTGTTTGTAAAAGGGACAAATAATTTCACTTAAATAACTAGTTTGATCTCAAGTAAGAGTTCATACTTTCTTTAGTAAATTTGAAATATTCAATTTTATACAAAATAAAGGCATTAAACATCCCATTTATAATTTAATGATGAAGGAATTACAAAAAGGTATTTTATTTTTACAACCAAAAGCAGATTAACCATGAAGCTAATGATGCTGATGCTTCAGAGACCTTGTTTGTCGAGGTCCTCCCCGGCCCTAAATTTATAAGCAGTAATTCTTTTCATAGAGAAGCTCCCCTTGTCCAGAATTACATAAACTTTAGCCCCCTCCCCACAAAGCCTGAATCTACCCCCAATAAAACCAAACTGTTCATGCAGAAAATTTAGAATAATTTTTAAGTTTATGAACAATTAGTCCTTTACTGAACATGTAAATGTATACTGTTGGACTGGAGGTATAGCTCAGTGGTAGAGCTCTTGCCTCGCATGCACAGAGCACTGGGTTCAATTCCCAGCACTGCAGAAACAAAAACAAGACAACAACCACAACAAAAATTCATCTGAGAAGATGTAAATGAAGGTAATACAACTTACTTTTCAAAAATAAAAACTTTAGACTTGTTTTTATAGACTTCATGTTTTAAAACATGAATAGTTTTGCATGTTTTCATCATCGGAGAACATTTCTCTAGTTGTACCAGGATTTTTCTGTTGTCTTTCTGTTTAAATACATTTTTCTATATCCATAGATGTGGGTGTAATTACAAAGATACTCATATAGTTGATTTTAATTCTGGAAGTTTACAGATTATAGCAATGTAATTAGGCTGGGCGTGGTGGCGCACGCCTGTAATCCCAGCACTTGGGAGGCTGAGGCAGGAGGATTGCTGCGAGTTCGAGACCAGCCTGGGCTACAAAGTGAGTTCAAGGCTGACCTGAACTGCATAGCAAGACCCTGTCTCAAAAAGACAAAAAAAACCATGAACAACAACAACAACAAAACAAAACCAATATAACTAAAAGTGAAATAAAATCTAGAAAATAAGTTGGTAAAAAACACCATATTAAATTTTTTTTGTTGTGGAAGTTGCTTGAAAATAGAATGTTGGAGGAGATACAATACTGACAATAACTACTTTAGTCTGCTGTTTCTGTTTGTGTTCATAAAATGTGTCAAGTTAGGGCCTAGGTAGGAAACAGAAGGAATAGTCAGCTAGGGTTTTGAAGTGATTTCAATGAAGAGACTTTTCAGAGAACTATGGCAAAGGTTATGGGAACCAGTAAAGGATATCTGCTCAGGGATCAGGAGCACGTGGGATAATCCAGGAAGTATTTACCTCTCTTGGCCAAATGGGGAAAGGGAAGGATGCAGTTTTAGTGGCAGTCATTGGAGGAGGGACAATTAGGGTGAGATGTGGGAAGGATGGGGATGACAGCGTAGTGATAGAGGGAAGTGGCCATGACCATCCGCTCCCCTGGCAGGATGTCATAGGGCCAGACGTAGCTGGAAGTCAGAGGAAGGGGCCTTGTGACAGGTATGGTCTGAAATAATTTCTTATCGTTACCTTTTCCCCTGCTTTATTTTTCCTTTCATTTCTTTTTCTTTCTGCACTGTTATCCAGGCTGGCCTTCAGCTATCGGGCTCAGGCGATCTTCTTGTCTCAGTCTCCTCAGTAGCTGGGACTGCAGGACTGTGCTCCCAGGCCTGGCTGTACTGGTTCTTTTAAAATACAGGTTTGGATAGATCTGAGAGGACATCTAGTTTTTGTGTGGTCTGTTTCTGTTCCTTTTAGGCCAGTCTATGCTTGAAGTGTTCTTGACAAAAAAAAAAAAAAAAAAAAAAGGTTTAAAATACCTTTGGAAAAGCAGCATCTGATACTTTTCTTTGGCAGTTCTGTTAAATATTTTCCAGTGTAACCGTTTCTCTTTCCCTCCTTCTTTCCCTTCTTATGAATGCCACACCTGGCTGAGAACCTTCTTAGTGTCGTTTACAAGCTTGGCAAGCTGTGCTCACTGTGCCAGCCACTGTTCTAAGTGCCGGGAATCTTCAGCTGTGGATTTGAAGTGATTGTTTTGAAGGAGACCCAAACAAATATCATGACCAACAGGCACTTGCAGTGCGGGATGTTTTGACTTGCAGTAGACACCAACTGAAGTGTTCAAGCCAGGCCAGAGGGATAACTGGCTCTTGCATAGAAGATAAATTGGAAAAGGATAAAACCCGAGTTAGGTACAGCTGGTGATTGTAGCATTTCAAGGGTGAAAAGTGATGGTAGCCAGAATTAAGGCAAGGGAACTGATAACTACGTCTAAAATTTGTCGCTGTTTTCTAAGGTGCATTAAAAGTTCTTTGATCAGCTTCGTGCTAGGCAGGATGATTTGTACTTTTTCAGTTTTCCTTCAGGGTTAATTTAACAAACCATCCTAGTGCTTCCCTAGGTACCGTAGCTTGTTTCTCACCTGCTTGCCATCTTTCTTGTACAGTGGAATGCAGAGTGAGTCACATGTTTGGGTGAGGATGACAGCCACCTTGGGCCAAGGAGACATGACAGAAACTATAGTTAAGAAAATTGTAACTAATGAGCATGCTGAATTTTAGTAAGCTCTAAACCCAAATGTAGGTTTGAGTCTCCTTATATATACTTTGGTGAGCTGATAGGAGAGAGAGAGAATGCCAGGTCTGTAGGCCATTCTCTGGGATTATGTTTATGACTGTATTGTATGTAAAAGCTGTGCTAGGTACCTCAGAAGTATACATTAAATTTTGTTTATGTTTAAATATTTTTATGTAGAAACTGTTTTGTTAATCTGATAAAAGTGTTGTTTCCATTTTTACTACCCACAAGAGTCACTGCAGTGGCTTATTTCTAGTGTGAGGAATGTTTCAGGATTATCAGGTGTCATGTATACATGCAGAAGGATGTAATGGCTTGATTGTGCATTTCTAAAATTGATAGTGTAGGTTCTGGGGTATCTTACTGTGTTCCATACCCTATATTGTTCCTTTTTACTTTCTTTATAGGTGTTACAATATTATGATATATTTTATATCTTTAAAGGCAGAGATATATTCTGTTGCTTTTGGAGTTTTTTTTAATGTCTGAATGCTTTATATAAAGCAAATTATATAAAAATCCTATTACCTCAGAACATGCATAAAAATTAATAAGAACTTTCATGGATTTTGATTGTTTCCTGGTAGTGTATCTTTTCATTTGTTCCTGGTAAAGAATGTATGAAACCCAATGTTACTAGCATGGAATTATTAAAACCTAATGTAATAAATTTATAGTTATTAAACTAGTGAATATATTTAGCACATATATAGCAGGTTTTTTGTTTTTTTTTTTGAGACAGGGTTTTGCTATGTAGTGCAGGCTGGCCTTAAACTCACTATGTAGCTCAGGTTGGCCTTGAGCTCATGGTGATCCTCCTGCCTCAGCCTTCCTAGTGTGGAGATTACATACCGCCCCCCAAGTACTGAGGATTGAACTCATGACCGTGTGCTTGCCGGGCAGGTGCTGTGCTAAATCCCCAGCCCCAAATTCTTTTTGTTTGTTTGTTTTTTCCTGAAAAATAGTTGTTTTTGGTACCGGGGATCGAACTCACAACCTTGCGCTTGCCAGGCGGGCATTTATGCCACTGAGCTATAGCCCCAGCCCTAGTGCTGAGGTTACAAACATGAGCCACCATACCCGGCCTCCTGAAGAATTATTTTTTAGTGGAGAGGATATTTGTTGATTGAGTGTTAAGATTTGTACAATATCTTTAATGCCTGGCAACAGATAAATAAAATGTTACTATAATTTAACACAACTGGGCGTGGTGGTACATGCCTGTAATCCCAGCACACAGGAGGCTGAGGCAGGAGGATTGTTGTGAGTTCAAGACTAGGTGGTATAGCTCAGCGGCACAGCGCCTGCCTCGCAAGGGCAAGGTCCTGAGTTCAATTCCTGGTACCAAAAGAAAAAAAAAAAAAAGACGTGACCAAGGCCTGCTGTGTGGGATGTGATGGGCTGCCAGGTCCTGGTTAGGGTGGACGGCCGGTAGGATGGAGGCAACTTTGGAGCAGCACTTGGAGGACACAATGAAGAATCCATCCATTGTTGGAGTCCTGTGTACAGATTCAGAAGGACTTAATCTGGGTTGCCATGGGACACTGCCAGATGAGCATGCTAAGGTGATATCTGTTCTGGCTCAACAAGCAGCTAAACTGACCTCTGACCCCACTGATACTCCTGTGGTGTGTTTAGAATCAGATAATGGGAACATTATGATCCAGAAACATGATAGCATCATGGTGGCAGTACACAAAATGGCCTCTCAATGTCACGTCAGTTCTTCAGCACCCCTTCATTGAGACTTAATCCTGCCTGTTAATCACCTTGTAAAACTATTATAGTTGCATTGGTTAGGCCCTTCATCTGATGTGCACTGGGCACTTTTGTATTTATTTTACTGTAAGTTGCTTTTTAACCAACCTATCAGAATATTAGTAGGAAAGGATCATGTTTTGAGGCAGCAGATACAGGTTATTTTGTATATAGAATTTTACATTCAATAAATCTGTATAGAGGGGAAAAAAAAAAAAAAACAGCCTAGGCTACAAAGTGAGTTCAAGGCCAGCCTGAACTGTATAATGAATGTATCAAAAAGACAAAGAAAAACACAGTATGTTGGTAGGGAGTATAACTCAGTAGTAGAGTGCTTGCCAAGCACGCATGGGGGTCTGGGTTTGATCTCCAGCACTACAGAAAAATAAAACTATCTTTAATTCATATTTAAAAAGGCAGAAGTGAATTTCTTTTAGTTTGCAAATAGAGCACTTTGTAGAACTTTTTATGCAAATTATGATGTTTACACAAATTTAAGTAAAAACTTCTGTGAAAATTATAATACTGTTATAGAACATTTTAAGAAAGATTAAAAATCTAGTATTGAATGATAAAGGCAGCTATGGGAGAAGTAATTCTAAAAGTATTTTATTGTACTGTTTACAAAATCAGTATTGGAAAAAAAAAACAAACACACCACTTACCTGAGAAATATAATCTCTTTATCTTATTTCCCTTCAAATTTCCTTTAACAGTTTGTTCAAAACGTTTCATTTTTTAAGAGTTAGGTTTACAGGATAGTGTTTAAAAAATCCCAATCTCTTCACCTGGAATCACCAGTTATTACCACTTTTCCACATTTCCCTTCTCGTTTCCTCATCCTCCATACATATACACATTTTTTCCCCTGAATCATTCAAGATTTAATTGCAAAGATCATAGTTCTTTCTCCCTAAAGTTGAGTGATGTTGGAATGTTTAACAGTGTTTTTGTCACTCATGTTATCCTCAGCATGAGGCTGTTAGGCTTTTCTGGTAAACTTAAGTGATTTTTTTTCAGGTTTAACAGTTTAACGGAGATAGGATTTATATTCCATACAGCTTATTCTAGACTGCATTTTTATTCCTTCCTTCCTCTCACTGGCAGTTGCTGGCACAGTGCTGCACCTGGCTGAGCGAGTGGTTTCTTTTGGAGCTGATAAAACTGCCTTATGAAATCAGCTGACAGGTATAACATACCTACAGGTGATATGTTTTCTCCCAGAGTTTGGATTGAGACTGACCCTCTCCACAAGTGATAGACACTCTAAGGAAAAGACTACTTTTTTTATCCAATTTTGTGAATATAACTTACAAAAAGATCATCTGAACTCTAAATACGCAAATCATTTTATAATAAAGTGTGAGCAAGATGATTCTAGATCTAGAAGTTAGAATTTTTCTGCAGTTTTTTTTTTTATCTCAAAGGAAGAAATCTATCTTTAGAAGTAAAAAAATAAAGAACTCAGGCCTTTAGGTTTTATATTTCATTTTGGAGTAGCATGAAAGGTGTTTGGAAAGACTGACTTCTATTTTTGCTTTAATTTGCAATTGTTTGTGCTTTAATTTCTTTTAATATATTACTCAGGGCTTAGTGCATTTTTACTGGCTGAAGCATTGTGTCTAAACTAATAGCCACATTTTACAGTGTGTAACTCTCCCTTATATTTTTCTCTTTTTTTTTTTTCCAGGGATGAGCTGTAAAAGCAACATCAGCTTGACCAGTCTATAATATTGCAGTGGATTGCTCATCTTGGTCCTTAAAGCTCTTTGAAAACCAACAGCATCACAGCTTGTTTTGGACTTTGTTACACTATTATTTTCAGCATGAAAATGTGTGGTTTTGTAAGGTTTTCTAATACTTCAGAGAGGCACAGAACCAAATTGGTGGAGGAAGGATGCAAAGTATCCTAAAGTGTATGATCACTTTTACATGCCCACATTTTACTTTAAAATATTAAAAGAAGGGGTTCTGCAAAATTGAAACAATAGTTTATGAATTGATTTTGAGGAGTGATTTTTCTTTTCTTGGATATTTAATTCTTCCAATGTTAATTTACCAGGTCTTTTGTGCATCAGATAACACCACCATTTACAAGTTAAGACTCTTGGTATTTGGTTATCTGTTAGATACTACTAAGAATATAGAGATGAGCTTTCTTTTTAAAGCTTTTGATGTGGTGTCATAGAATAGCATGTTGTAGATACAATCAGCTGCTTTGTTACCTTAAAAGTAGGTATTTGTAAATATTGAAACTTAAAATGGCAGTTGATGTCCAGTAAACAGATGTTCAGATTGGACATAACTGACATAGTTCTTTCTTTTCTCTAAAAATGATAGGAGACTTGTAGCTCACTATTATTTTTTCTGTTTCTAGTTTGCTGCTGATAATGTATATGAATCTAACCTGCTGTGTAAGCTGTGTGGTAGTGACTGCACAGTTTATGCAGTACTGCTTTGCCAAATAAAGTTAAAAGCAAAAGAAGTATGGGTGGTGTTTGAATCTAGGTGAAAGAACAGCAGGTCCACCAGCTCAAGCATGCTGAGACCACAGAGGAAGAGTCGTTTCTCTGCTGCTCCATTTTGTGAAATCTGACAGTTAAACAGTGTTAATTCACCTGTATGTTGTAGAATGTAAGTAACTACATTTCTGCAGGGCAAGGACTGTATTTTGTTCCCCAGTTCTCTCTGCCTACTTACTCCAGGGCTCGTCGTTTAGTGCAGTTAATGCTGAGTGAGTGAGTGGGTGAATGAATTCATGTCAGAGCAGAGCACGACTGAGGACAAACACACCCAAAGCCCTCCCTCACCTACAACAGCTTCATTAATATAATGACTACAGAGTGTGTTTCTAAGAAAGTAGTGGCACTTTGGGATCTTGTGTAAATGTGGTTTTATACATTTTGTAAGAAGATAGTTTTTCTAGGGATTGTAGAACTTGAGGAAATAATAGAAGCTGTAGAAAAAGCAGAACTAGCACTCCTGGCAAAGCCATTCTAAAGCTGGGGGCAAGTCTTTATAATTCTGTGAAGGAGATCTTTAGTGAGCTTGTGACACAACCTTCCCCACTTTTAAATATTATTTTTTCTTTAAAATTGCTTTTAAAAATCAGGAGTACATCCTTTTATATGTGTCTTTACTCCAGGGCTCGTCATTTAGTGCAGTTAATGCTGAATGAGTGAGTGGGTGAGTGAATTAATGTCAAAGCAGAGCAAGACAGAGGATAAACACACCTAAAGCTCTCCCTCATCTGCAATACATTCATTCATATAATGACTACAGAGTGTGTTTCTAATTTTCTTTTAAAATTAAGTAAGTTCTAAACTTGTCCACTAGTCTGGGTTCTTCCTAACTATTACCAGCATTTTATTGTATGTAATAGGTTTTAGGGATAGAAAAAGGCACTCTCAAGGAGTCTACAGTCTAGTGGAGTGTATCCCAGTTTTTAGGTATAATAAGACAGACTCACCTGATGGTACAAAAGTTATACTTCAAACATTTTTCAACCATTACTTTTGGATGTTATACCTTTATTTTTTTAAAGACAGGTTGCACTCCGTAATTTAGTCTGGCCTTGAACTTGCTATGTGTCCCAGGCTGACCTTGAACTTGTGGCAGTCCTCCTGCCTCAGCCTCTCAAGTGCTGAGTAAATGTTACATATTTATGAATTAAAATTTTAGGATGCTGAACGAACAGGATGAACTTTTAGGGAGCACCACTAAATGGGTAAAGATCATAATAATGGATTTTAGCTAAGTCTAAGTACTTTTTTTATAAAAAGAACTGAATTTATGAAAGTATAGGTTAAGATAAAAATACCTTGTTAATCTTCAGTATTTTTTTTTTTTTTTTGTCTTTTTGAGACAGGGTTTCACTTTGCAGTTCAGGCTGGCTTTGAACTCACTTAGTAGCCTAAGCTGGCCTCAAACTCACAGCAATCCTCCTGCCTCAGCTTCCTGAGTGCTGGGATTATAAGTGTGTGCCACCATGCCCAGCAGTATTCATAATTTCTAAAATGTTTTAACGTTTTATTTTTTCTTAAGAGGAATTATTCCTTTATATAATAAGGGCAGCAGTGAAAATATTTCAGAAATTCCAGTGTAGTAAGATCTATCCAAACAAGATATTTTATATTCATTGGGTCTCATTAAATGCCAAATGTAATTGTTGAATATGAGTTTGTATTGTGGGTTTCAACTCTTTCCCAGCCAGTCACATTGAAAATGACACTCACTGGATTCTAAAATAGAAAAATTATTTTAGTAATAACCTAATAGTCGTAAAATCTTTGAAGCTGTTCTTGGTGGGTAAGTCCAGCCAGAATTTTACAGGGTTTTGTGTTTTGCTTGTTGTTTGACTAGAGAGGTGGATGATTCTGGTTTTCAGTTGAATGTTAAATTTTCCAGTTGTTGGTTTGGCACTAAAAGAACTCATGTGAGTGTAGTAACTTGAGTACTAATACTATAAACAAATAATATGAGTGATTTTTTTTTTAAATGCTCAAAATGGGCCAGTAAGTTATTTTCGCTAAGTGCAGAAATTCTTGCGGCATGTAAATACTTTTGTTTAATTTACTATGTTCTTAATGAACTGTATTCACTAAGACACTGAGTTCTGACCAGATTCCAGTTGTATTTTTGTGAATTTCTCCTGCCCTGCTTAGAGTCAGCGGAAGGAGCCCTTTTGATGAAAACTGTGGCTCTAGGAACTTTGCATTTGTGTACGTATTATGTAATAAAAAGGAGGTCAAGTAATTTCTTTATCCTTAACTCTTCTAATATTATTGCTGCTAAGAGTACTTGCTGGCTCCCCACGCTGAGCTTTGTCTTTTTAACATTTTTTGTTTGGGTAAGTACTCTTTGAAATGGCTCCTTGCTCACAGGAGAGAAAACAGTAACGTGTGTGACCCCACTCACTTCCCATGTGGGTTGGCACACTTCGCCAGTGAGTCTCCTCTCTTTCCCTTCCTGTTTTTTGTCTCCTGTCAACACGAAGGCACATTCGAGGGCTGCTGACGAATTCATTCTCACTTAGGAGGTGTCCCAGTAGCTTGGGTATCGCAGTTTTTTCCCCTAAGGTTAAGGTGATGGCAGTACTGAGGACATTTCCTTATGAGGGCAGAATCCAGGGGCTTGGGGGGCTGAGGATATTTATATTTGCATTTCAACACCATAAGAACTTTGCATGTTCCTCAAAGTGTTATATCTTAAGGGATAATTCATTTTGCTATCACTCCTTTTATTTTGCTAAGTGGTGTTTGATTATTTAGGTTTTTTTTTCCTTCCACTGTAATTATTCCGTCATGATTTTGCCTAGAAATTATATTATGGATCAGAGACTGCAGAATTTCTATGTGAACACTAGCGTGTAGGTTTTTAGTTGGACAAAGACTTACTTTCTCGGGGAGAAAGGCCTTCCTTTCTTAGGATTTCTTTCAATTTAGGAGATGGGCAATATCATTAGATAATTAGCCCAGGAAGTTGCAGGTAGGGCTTTTACAGTGTCAAGATTATTACTGTGTTTCCCACCCTCAGAGACAGATTTCTGAGGCAGGCCTTAGATTGGGTAGTTCATAGTTCTGATTTCTTCTGTATACAACTCTTTAGATAATAAGTACATTTTGAGATTCCCCAAATATTTCAGTACTCTTTGATTTATTTGCATTTTTTGGTTTTAAGTCATATGAAATGATGACCATGAAAATGAGAGTACTTTTTAAAAAAGCCTTTATACTTAACGCAATTTTTCCTAAACTTTGCTGTAATCCCAGCACTCAGGAGGCTAAGGCAGGAAAAATATCGTAAGTTTGAAGCCAGCCTAGTGAGTTCAAGGCCAGCCTGAATTACATAGCAAGACCCTGACCCTCTCCCCCAAATTAAAATTTGCTTTAAGTAGTTTCCTCAGTTTAACTTTATGGACAGATCTTATGTTCTGCCCATAAAGTTAAAGACTGAAATAATATATGTTGATTTTTCTAACTTGCAGTGTCGTGACATAATATCAGAATTAAAATATCTAGAAATGAAAACATTTAGGTCTACATAAAGCAAATGTAGAAGGTGGCTTAGTTCTTGCTGTTCAGTCCATCTCTAAAAACAGTTAGCTTTGGGATGTCTAAACTTTTCACCTGACTTTATTTTCATCAGTTTCACATTTAGCCACAGACTCTTTTAGCTGTTGCAGTAGCTATAACTTAAAAAATTTTTTTATCTGTACAATCCTACAATCTAGTAGGACAAAAGAACTGGGAGAATGGGACCAAGAGCCAACTAGAAAATACATAAGACAGATACTTTAGAAGCTAGTGAGATAAGGACATTTATGAGCATCAAACTGAGCCTTTTCATGTTCAGCTTAAGCAGTTGTTTGAAAGTTTCAATTTTAAAGCCCCCAAAATGTAGAAAACTTGAAGTCCAGGAAACAAATGATTGGACTAGGGAGGAAGTGGACTCCGCCAGGAGGGAAGTGGTATATTGTAGTCCAAAAAAGAATGCACACCAAAATTTACACATGTTTGACGCCAGACTTCAGACGCTCAGGCTCAGATGCGTATGTTAAGGGGCAGCATCAACATGCTACAGCTGCCTGACTGAGGGGACATCGACGGGAAGGACTGCTCATGTTCTAGGGCACAGAACACTGTTATGTTCCACAGGAGGAATCCACCTGACGTTATCAGTGTCTGCCTTGAACAGTCAAACTGAGGGACACCAGAAATATGCACATGTATGTCTGGGTTGTGGGCAACGAAAGAACAAGAACAGCCATGGTGACTGAGAGGTGTTGAGAAGTATGATAGGCAGCTGTGGGGCCAAATCACAGGGCTTGAAAAGCCAAGCCACTGGGAGAAAGATGAATTCTTTCCTATGGAAGAGGCCATATTTAGTACTTGGGTGATGTAAAACACTGAAATGCTTTTGTGGAAGGTTTGGAGGAATTGGCTGTTGGCTGCTTGTACTGAGGATGAAAGCAAGTAAGTTTTAAGTTTTTAGGAAGATGGTTTCTGAGCCTTTTCTTAGAAAGGTGTAGCTCAGTGGTAGAGTGCTTATGTAGCGTGTGCAAGGCCCTGCGTTCAGTCTACATAGAACATCACACACGTGCGCGCACACACGTCCTTGTCCATCTGCTATAAATACTTCATAGAAACTGATTCTCTTGTGATATGTTCTGTATGTCCCTAGGCCAGCCAATTTTCTCCAGTCTTCATACTCCTCCTTTGAAAAGTAGGGTTGGCATGATGAAATCCAAATAATATAGTAGCAGCTCAGTCAGTATCAGTAATTTACAGATTTATAGTAAAATATTTTTTAAAAAGGCTTAAGAATAAAATACAGTTTATTAAAGGAATGTTTATATCCACAAGGGTCAACTTTTCTCAAGTATTTTCAACACCATAGCAATACTAAGTTTTGTTTAATTTCTTCAGGTATAAAAGATATGCTGAAAGATATGTGCCTTATCAGTTTTTATTTTATTGGGTATGGCTATAGGTGACATTCTTCTATATAAAAACAAACTCCACAGTATCACATATAGAGTACAAACATCTTAAATTCATTTATACCCTTGATTTTGCTTAAACTGCCATTGAAAAATTTTTTTATCACTGCTCAATTCTAAAAAACAAAATGCAATTTCTCAGGAAAAATGATGCTTAATTTCTTTGTTTTCTAGAATTTTCCAATTAGGGTTAGGGTTCAATGTTGATACGTTATATCCCCACACTCAAATTAACCATCTACTTCAGTTTCAATCTAAAAATAAACTACCCTCTAGAGTGTTCAAGTGTTTAAGAAGCTTTGCCCTTTTAAGGTAAAAAGAAAGTATAAATAGGAACATCATGTAAGGATAGACAGGCACCATACTATATATTCCTCTTTGAATAATTTCTAGAATGTATACATTCTGGCTTTAAGCTATGATGGGAATAATTTGCCTTTAAATGCCTACAGTTTTAAAAGGGAGAGGATGCTAAGCTAGGTGTCAGATTTCAGTAAAGATGAATTTGTGGAAAATTGCCCTCTGCCTGTTAGTACATAAGCCTGGCATTAAATGACTGCACATTAAAACTTATCGTGGAGTGAATGCTGGGGGTTGAAGTCAGTGCCTTTCCACAGAGCTACACCCCCACCCCTTTTTATTTATTTTGAGACAGGGTCTCACTAAGTTGCCTAGGTGAGACTCAAACTTGGGTTCCTCTTGCCTCAGCCTCACACAGGGTTGAGATACCAGCTATGTACTAGTGGCTGGCTGTTAAAACATAGCATTAAAATGTCTTAGGAAAAAACCTTACTGGTTCCATTAGCATGAAGGATCTGCTGATACTTAAATAGGGTATCATTTTTATAAAGCTGCAGAAACGCAACTGATGTTCTGCTGTAGAATTTGCATTTTCCTTTTTTATTAACAAAGAATAATGTTGAAAACTGATGATTACATAAATGAGTTGCTTGCTCTGGACCATGGAGTGGTTTTTGACCAGCAATAACAAGAGTATTAACTGTCCTTACTTTGCCCTTAGCTAAGTTTCTGTTGAAAGTTTTGGCCCACCATATTCTCTGCTTCCCATTTCACTTCATAACTATCTTAGGGCTGTTCCTACCCTAAAATCCATTTATTTTCTCCAAAGATCAACTTTAGGAGGCAGCAAACTACACGCATGGTATCAGAAGCACCGGAAAGAACCCACGTTCCTATCCCCTGAGGCCTCAATGGCCTGTTGAAAAGGCTTGTAATTTATATACACCTGCCAATTTATATACACCTGCCATTGAGATCCACTGTCAGAAACAGGTTCTGGAGGGGAAGAGAACAGAAGAACATTGGAGATGAAAGAAAAACAGCTACAGAATGAGGGGAAGCCAGCCTAAAGTGACCCAGCACTGCCAGGGGCCAGTGTTGGCTTCTCCAAAGACAAGGGTAAGCACCACCATCCTGAGGCCAACTTCTGACATACTTTTTTTTGTTTTGTTTTAAATCTCAGCTAACTACAAATTTCTGTTTCCAGGGACAGCCTAGTAAATCAGAACCAGATTGGTAGATGTCTTTAATCACATGAATTCCTCCATAAATTTCCAGGTGTTACACATACTCCCTAAGGAAAATCTTTCTACAATAACTAAGACAAAGGTTTGCAATTTGAAGAATCTTTCGCCCAGTTAAAAATAAAAGGTCGTAAATACCAGAACTTAAATGTAAGAATAAATTATAAGCAAAACATGTCCTTGCCGCAAGTTACATTTGCTACAGATACATCCCATTTATGAGGTAGTCGGATTCCTCAGATGTAATGGGACGGGCTTTCTTAAGTTTCTGTTTCACCAGTCGTAGTCGGCAGGCAACCATGAGAAGGAGCAAAGCCGTGATGGCCAAACCCAGAGCCAGGGGCAGCACTGCACCTGTGAAAGGTTAGAAATGAACGGGGTAGGTCAATGACAGCTACTGTTTACTATATAATCAGCGCTTGGTGGACACTCTTCTTTAACCTGTACAATTCAACATGTACTAACATTACCACTATTTCAGATTACGGTGCAAAGAGGTTAGGTAATTGGCCTAAAATGGATGTTGTAGGTCTAGCTCTCCAAACCAGGCTGCAAAACCAAATTCTGTACTAGGTTTCCACAAAATTTGCTTGGCATCAGTGGTTACAAGTATCACAGTGAGGTTACCTTTGCATCCAACTGTAACAGACATTTTGAACCTTGGAAATTTTTTCATTGTAGTCATAGATTATGGATTCATAAATGATCATTCTGTTAGGTATGAACTAACTCCTGAGTTCTGGGATCTGGTTAGGGCAGAAGAAATTTATTTCCTTTCTAAATCCAGGGACTCTATTTTTATACAGTAGAATCTTTGTTTAAAATTAACCTCAAAATATGCTGGTGTAGCTCTGGTTATCAGCTGGTAAAGAAAACATTTCTTTTTTTTTTCCCTGTGGGGTTAGTCCTAGACATGTGACTAGAAGCAGACTTCAGAGGCTCGTGGAGTCTGGAAGAGGCACCAGGATGCCCCAGATCAGTCTCCTGATCAAGCTCAGCAGGTTCTATTCTTAGTCTGATCCATTCTGTAGTGAGGCCAGGTCTGGAGATGATATGGTAGATCTATTTTTAGCTGCATGGCCTACAAACTGGTGGAACTGGAGAAGCAAACATCTCCACTGTGTAAGCTGATTCTATAACACTTCCTTTTGTTCATTTATTCATTCTACATTAGCAATAGCCATCTATGTGTCAGCTGAGTACCAGCAATCAAAGATAATAAATTTCTGTCAAATAAGTAAAAAAGATCCCCCAAAGGATAAGCTAATACAAACAGTGCCAGGTTTATAGTTGAAGTCACTGAACTCAAAACAACCACAACAGCTGGTATATTATTGTATTCATTTTACAAATGAGGGAAGGCATCAGAATCAATTGACTTGCCTAATGTATTATGAGTGGGGGGGCTAGGAAACCACCCCAGACCAGGCAGCTCCAGAGCTTGTGCTCTTAGCCACTATAGTATGTTTCCCCAACAGGGAAATGAGACTGTTTCTGAATGACTTAAAATTTAGGCAGATAGGCATTTAACATGTTCACAGTGGGCTGTAATTCATATGCCTCACTGCCAGGTGGTGTAACCACTGGTGGGACAGATATGATGTCCCATCGGACAGCTCTTTATTCATTTTATTAGTAAAAAGACTGATAATAGTGATTAGATCCCTTTCTATCACCAGTGGTACAAGCTGCATCAAGGGAGAGTCGTGAATGTACCACTGGTCTTCAAGCCAGCAAAAATGTGTTAAATGAAAAATAATGCAACAAAGTATTATAGTTACCATGAGAGAATTACATATGAAGTGCAGATGTGAAAAGAAGTGGTCCATCTGTTTGGTTGGTAAGACTTTTGCAGGAGTGATTTGATGTCATGATGGAGCTTGTTTGGGGTGGGTAGGGAGGTCTTTTTTTTTTTTACATTTTCAGAATAACGTGCTTATAGGCAATCCAGATGGATTTTTTCCCTAGGTTCTTGGAGGCTTCAGCATAAAGGTGGTACCTACAGCCATGAAAGTGAGTGAGGATGCCAGAGAAAAAGGAAGAAGGGAGGGCCACAAACAAGGTCTTGGGAAGTACTATCTATGGTGCAGACGGAAGAGGACTAGCGAGAATTAGAAGACAGGTCAGAGCAATAGTAGGACAACTGAAGGGCGAGTAGGGGAGTAGAAGTGAAGGGAAAAGACAAGCCCACAGAGAAAGGGCTCTGCAGAGTCAGATGCCAAGAAGAGGTCACACACCAAGAAGTGTGGAGAGCCCATGACATTTAGCTAGTAGCAACTAATTTACAGAAGACTGAAGACTAAGGACTTTTTTTTTGTATGCAGAGAGCTGAATTTGTTTGCAGCCATCAGAGGAATGAGCCAGTGGAAAAGCACATTTTAAGCTCTAGAGAATTAACAGATGATGGAGAAATGTACCCGAGGGAATAAGGGGTTACATGAAGACTGGGAAGCGATGGCCCTGGAAGAGGACACCGGCTCCTTCAGTGCTGGAGGACAGGAAGGAAGGGTGGGTGCTGGTAGGCACATTTCTGTGTTTGGGGATGTGTAGCTGAGGAAGTTCACCCAAGGAAGCCTTGATTTTCTGGTCCTAAAACTGGCCCCAGGAGTCCGAGGGAAGCCTCTTGAAAACACAAGGACCTGGATCTGGTTATACACACAGGGCTTTTCAAACTGTAAGGTACGTTTTAGAAACCCAGGTAAAGCTGAACAAGAGTTTTAGAACAGTCCTGTGCCTGAGGGGAGGGGGAAGTTGCTTTCAGTACTGGACTGAGGCCAGTGTTCCTCTAGAGAACTGTGAAAGCTAAGAACCTGTGATAAACCCATGCCTAAACAAATTTTGTTTTGGTTGTTTTGAAACAGGGTCTCACTATGTAGTTCAGGCTGGCCTTGAGCTCACTATGTAACACAGGCTGGCCTTGAACTTGTGATGCTCCTTCCTCAGCCTTCCCTGTGCTGGGATTACAGGCATGTACCACCATGCCTGGGGGATGCCTAGAATTTTTATCCTATTTTTTTGTGTCTTTATTTTTCCCTAGAATTTTTATTTTAGTGTTTTTGCATATATTCCACACATCTCACCTCTCTAGAGGTGACAGGAATCACTGCTTTCTTACTTGCTTCAGTAGCACATACACTAAAGTTGGAATGATACAGAGAAGATTAGTATGGCCCCTGCACAAGGATGACATGCAAATTCATGAAGCATTCCATATTTTCTTTTCTGTATACTACTGTCAGGGTTATCTCTGTCATTAACAATACTGTGGTTCATTCCTAGAGAACTGGGTGCTGGGCCAATTATCCTGCATCCTCCCTTCCCAAATTGACGGAGGGCGTTGAATATTGGGACAGGGCAAAAGGCTATAGTTAACCACATCCAGAGTGTATTGCTGAAAAGCAGCTGCAAGTAACTAAATAGGTCTCTATACTAGCAGCAGTCTTTCCATTATAATTGACCCACAAACCTCATCACACATGCACATACATATGAACATACACAACAACAAAAACCTGAGAAGACAATAAAATGACTCAAAAAACTCACAACTCTCCCAAAGTGAATACATGGATTATCAATGGGAAGGGAATCAAAAGCCTCACAGCTGAATTATTTGATGTGATAGAGGAAATAAAAGACAGATCAATAAGATGCTTGGCAAGCTCAAAGAAGATATAACTAAACATATAATGGACTTAATAAAACAGTGAGTGTATAGAAGACACTAATAAACAGCTATCTGAGCTAAACAAAATGTTATAAAATATGAATGATCAGTTTAGCAAAGAATTGGAGTTTATGAAAAGGTACCACACACAAATCCAGATTAAAAATTAAAAATTTTTAATTTTTAATTTTTAATTAAAAATTCTATTCAAGTATGGGAAACAGAAGTGACACATTTCAAGTATGGGAAACAGAACTAGAAGATAGGGCTGATGCAGTGATCATATACTGAGATATACCTTAAAAAGAATAGAACATTAAAAAAAAAATGGATCCAGTAGCTACTTGATGAAACAAAAAAGACTAAGATTGGAGTAAGTGAAAAATCAGAAGACAGTACGATTGGCATAAAAAACCTGTTGACAGAAATAATAACAGAAAACTTTCCAAATATGGGGAAAGAATTAAACATACAGGTAAGTGAGGCATATAGAACCCCAAATAATCTCCCTACCTAGAGAAATGCACATTAAAACAACACTGAGAATCCACCTTACTCCAGAAAGAATCACTATCATCAATAAATCTATTAATAACAAAGGCCAGAGAAACTGCATGGAAAATGGAACCCTTCTACATTGTTGGTGAGAATGTAAACTAGTACAGGTATTATGAAATCAGTATGGATATTCCTCAAAAAGGTAAATCTATAGTGAGACCCTGTCTCAAAACCAAAACCAAACCAAACCAAAACAAAGCCCCCTACAAAAGCTAAACTTGAAATTCTAATCATTCCAGCTATTCCTCTTCTAGGTATCTTCCTGTAAGAGGTAAACACATCATATTACAGTGATAAATGCCTACCCACGTTTATAGCAACACAGTTAATAACAGCTAAATCTTAGAAACAGATGAATAGGGTCCTTCAACTTCAGTGCTTGGAAAGACCACATTTTTGGACCCACTGGGAAGAACCATTGAAAAGGTTGTTAAGACTACAGTGTGCAACCAAGGGAGAGACCTAAATAATTAAGAAAATACCTTCTCTTGATACTGATGCGTCAGTCTACAGCAATCATCTGTAAAGTACTGAACATCCTATAAAAGAGTTCATTAACCCATGTGGGCTTAATTATACAGCAGGCAGGTGTGATCACATGTAAGAAAGAGATCATGGTCTTCCATTTGAAGGAAGCATACAAGCAGGGTTGGTCACATAATAAAATTGCTGAAGTAAATATGAGACTATCGGGTTAATAATAATCCTTAGTTATTGCAGGCTGCTCAGATCCACAATCTCCCCATTGGGTGTACAGCGAAGGCTAAATAAAAAAAGGCAAGTGGAATGATTTCAGGGCTCCAGAAGGATCAAAGCCCTCTCACAGAATTAGAGATTCTCTCAGGGCTAAGACCAAGAATTTCCCTGGGTAGCCCACGTTTATTTTGTTATCAGAAGAAGGGAGGGGTATACTCAAGAAGGGTGGAATTACTCCAGGACTTTTCCAAGTAAGGTATTAAGTTAATCCTTAATAAGGATTAAATTAATCCACCCAGGAATGAAATGTCTGAGGCTATAGTCTTTATCTAGTTGAGATCGAGATCTAGGTGTCCTTGGCTGTGATCTTGTCCTATCCTTTGAGGCTTTCAGGCTTTATCTACCATTATGGCTTTAGTAGGGATTAGTGACTCATAGGGTTCACGTACTATGAATCTGTTGCCCATTTCCAGTCAAGTGGCCTAGGCTTTGGACAGCTTCACAAGTGCACATGAAAAAGCCAACTGATCAATTTAAGTCCTGCTCAGGGCTGCTTCATAGTGGGCTCCATCATGAGACAAGAGAAATTCTCATAGCATGCAAAGGAAAAGGCTAAAGAAATTAAGAAAGAGGAGAAAAAGATATAGAGGACCCATCCAGGAAATACAAATTAGGTGTAATAGGAATACCTGAAATGAAGCTGGAACAATAAAGATCTAACTAAGAAAAGCTTTCCAGAGTTGAAGGATGAAGTAGGCCTGCAAATGAAGATGGCTCATGGGGTACCTCTAAATTTTAATGAGAAAAAAGCAACACTTAGACATATCCTCAGGACTTTTTCAATTTCACGGATAAAGAAAAAATTTTGCGGGGCTGGGGATTTAGCTTAGGGGCACAGTGCCTGCCTGGCAAGCGCAAGGTCCTGAGTTCGATTCCCGATACTGGAAAAAAACCAAAAAAAAAAAGAAAAAATTTTGCAAATATAAAGGGGCAAAAGTCAGACTGACCTCAGATTTTTGTCTTGAGTTCTAAATGCCAGAAGACAATGGAACAACATCTACAGAGTTTTAAAGGAAAATAACTTTGAACCAAGATTTATATACCCTGCCAAGTTAGCATTTGTGTATGAAGGCAACTGGAAAACATTCTGAGATACCAGGGGGTTAAGAAAGTACATCGACCAAGAACCTTTTCTGAAAATTTTGCTGAATGATTCACTGTGGCCAACAGAAAAATTAAAACAGAGCAGGGAGATACTTATATGAAAGATTTGATGTTTAAAACTAGTTAAGAACATGATGTCTAAAACTGTTATACAGAGGATAATAAACCTAGATGCAAAACAGACTTGTAAGCTAGGTCTAAAATTTTCAGTTATGTAGTTTTAGACTGTCAAAGTGCATGCCAAATATCCAACGTATTGGACAAATTAATACTATCTTATTTCTGCCACATAATATTATGAAGATGCATACTGTTAAGCCAAACATATGTTAGATAAAAGTGCTTTGTCACTGTGGGCAGGAAAAAATACAGAAAAGACATTCTAAATGTTAATTGGACAAAATTAGAAAGTGGTACAGTTTTATTGCAAAAAAACTAACAAGTTCATAATGGTAATACTAATAATGTGAAGAGAAAATTTCCAAACCACTGGTTGGAAAGGGATGGATATGTTTAACATGGTGAATTGGGAAAACCAGTAACTATTGCATCAGATAGTAATTCATATAAATCAATTTGTCATTGAGTTGTGGACAAAAATAGATTCCATGTTTGTGGAACTGAAAATAAGTGAAAAACCAAGAAAAAACAGCAAAACAAAAATATCAAGGAAGGGCTGGGGATATAGCTCAGTGGCACAAGCACCTGCCTGCCAAGTGCAAGGTCTTGAGTTCAATCCCCAGTACTGCCAAAAAAAAAAAAAAAAGAAGGAAGTGTTAAAATTTACATAAAAGATACTGGCAAAGAGAGGTGAATTGTACTCATAAACCAGTTAAATTCCCAATTAATAAGATCCAAATTTAGTAAAAAAAAAATCAGTCTCTGCTCCGAGATACTCACATTTGTATAAAACAAAGGTTAAAGGGGTTTAAAGACACATGGACAGTAACATTTCTACTAGGCAAAGACAAGGATGTTATAAGAAATTTCACATTTAAGAGGCTATGTTGTATTCATATGTACGATTTTTGTTCAGTATCTTGATGTGGGTGGTAGCAAACTGATACAGATACATATATTTTGAAACATTTAAAATTCATGATTTTATGTATTTAAAATTCATCTAGCAATCCTTCAGTTAAAGGGAATACATGTAGCAAACAAAACAACAGACGAATGGATAAAGAAAGGGTGGTATTTATGCACAATGGAGTACTACTTTACCACAAAGGATAAACTTGAATCATTTGTAGGCAAATGGCTGTACCTGGAGACCACAATGTTTGTTTGTTTGTTTGATTTTTATTTTATTTTTCTGGTACTGTAAATTGAACTCAGGACCTTGTGCTTGCCAGGCAGGCACTTGTGCCACTGAGCTATATCCCTAGCCCTGAGACCACAATGTTAAGTGAAATAAATCATACATATAAACTTTACATGAGAAATCCAAGGTATACATAAAGAGTAAAATAAAAGTTAAATCATAGGAAACAGGGAGAGAGAACTTATGCAGAAGGGAAGGGAATCAAAAGATAGAGGTCAGGGGATGAAGTCAGGGGAAGGGGATGAAAAAGAATTAAGATGTGTTGTATACAAGTATGAACTCTCCAGGATGAATATAATCATTATGTGCTGCAAACAGGTACCAATAAAAATAAGACTAACTTGATGGGAGAGATTCTGAATGGGCTGAGTGGCTCAAAGGTGTCAGTTTTCCCTCTGGCCACAAACCACATAAAGTTGGATATTTTATAAAGGAACAGGACCAAAAAAGACTAGCCAACCTCACAGAAATTCCAGGTGCCCCAAACAATATCCCATGAACTGGAATACAACACTCAGCCCCAGATTTGCTTATTCAGGCAAGAAAAAAGGCAGCTTCCAGACCTGAAAATGTCCCTGATTTGTTCAAAGATGAGAATCAGTGTTTAGGTTAAAGGGGAAGAAAGCTGTTGGTGGCAGTCCCCAACCCATTCTGGGGCTCAGACTTAGCCGTGGTAACAAAACACAGGCAGACAATCAAGGAGAATGTTCTATTTGCCAAGTCAGATATAAGGTTGCTGAACTGTCAAATCTGACCCCTGCTGAACAGGGACAAAGAAATGGAAATCTTCTGTGAAGCAGTACTTGCCAGAATACTGAAAATTATTCTCAACTTTTTAGAACCTAGTTGGCACAGTTCCTCAATATTTTTAGCTTGAGCAATCTGAGATTTAAAATTTTCCAGCCCCTTCTAAAACACACCATGGCAAAATACTCAGTAATCAGGTAAGGTGACGAATTATGTATTCTGCCCATAATGAATGGAAGTGACATTCAAAATATTTAACAGTTAGAATGGGTGCCAGACATTAAGCGGAAATGCTATGTTTAGCTGGCCATGGCCAGGAGCCTCTGACCATGGGAAAGATGTTGACTGGGGACAGGGACCCTTTTATTCAAGTATCTCAGGACAGACTAAGTCCACTAGGCCGGCAGACTGGAGTCGGGGGCATCCAGGTACTTAACGTCTAGATTATTCTTAGACATTTTCCATTTAAAAATTATATTTTAAACTAGGAATGGTAGCATTCACCTATAATCCCAACACTTGTGAGGTTGAGGCAGGACAATCACCCGAGTTTGAACCGAGCCTGGGCCACATAGTGAGTTGAAGGCCAGCATGAACTACATAGTGAGACCCTCTCTCAACAAAAACAAAAAAAATTGTATTTTAGTATTATGTAGATGTTACAAAAGTAAAAGAAAAATTTTCTCAATGTTTTACTCTATAATTTAAGAATCACATTTGTGCTCCTAGATTTCCTTTTACTGATTAGTTTGTGGGATTTAGGTCTAAAGCCTGCCTTTCTATAGCACTATGTCCAAAGTAAACAGTCAAAATTGTAGAGTTATGGTATTCGGTTTTACTTAGTAAAATTTCCTTCTACCTCCTCTACCCTTTCTCTAGTTCTGCTGCTTTCAGTATTTGTTACTGGAGCACTGAGACACAGCGAGCACTAGGTCCCTTTCTGCATCATAAATATCACAATAATAACAGCCATCATTTATACTGTTTATATCATTATCCTCAGATGGATGAGCTCACAGGGTACTAAATGCCTTATATTAACTGTTCCATTTGTTCCCCTTAACCCTATGAGGCAGGTGTAGTAACTATTCTCATCTCAGCAGTGAGGAAATGGGGACCCACACAGGTAAGGACCTGTCCAAGGTCACTGAGCGTGGTGGTGGAGCCAGGACTTGAACTGTGGCAGTCCTTAACTCTGTGCCACAAGTACGACTGCATACAGAAGTCATACCTGGCAAGGTGTATGAAAGAAAACTGACGTCCAGAGAGCTCTATGAAGCACGGTGACAAAACCGATGAGAAGACAGTTCTTCTGGCCCATGGATCGCTGCACCTGCCCCAAACTCTCAGGGCTTCACCTGATACCCTCAACCATAGCACATGCAGTTATGAAGCTATCTCTACTCTGCAATGCATTTTCAAAGTGTGTGCTTACCTGCTTCAGGAGCTGGGTGTTCCCCCCTTCCTCGATGGCTCTTGGACTCAAAAGTAAAATTTTCCTCATTTCTGTTCTTCCCTGAGGAAATGCTATCTGTGGAAAACAAAGGGAACATGTGTTGAAGACACATAGAAACTTCAGGAAGTACAAATGGAAATACAGCCTTATTTTCTTAGTTTTTATTTTATTTTTGGTCCCAGAAATCGAACTCAGGACCTTGCACTTGCCAGGCAGGTGCTGTGCCGCTGAGCTACATCCCCTGCCCCAGCCCCAGCCTCTTTTTTTCAAAGATGGACTTAGAGAAAGGACTTGCATGATTTATTTTTCAAACAAATATAGGCTTATGTTTGATACTAAAATGCTGGCTGATGAGACCAGTCTGATCAAGCGGGATATGTGGCTAGATGAAACACTGGGCAGAGAGAGGGAAGCAGCTCCTGGTACCGGAGCTGCCCTCTCCACCTCGGAAGGAAGGAGAAGCCTCATCCGGGAAGGTCAAAGGAGTCTCTGGACGTCAGGCCTGGGAAGCAGAAACAGTCAAAAGAGAGCCTCCTTTGAAAAATTGAGAATGAACACACATGAAGCACACAGACTTGCCATGGCACTTTCTCACCACAACCCTGCTGGTCAGGTATTAATAGCTCAATTTTTCCTGTTAGGTGCAGCACAGATTACTGCGCAGCTTCACATAAAGAGTGAAGAGGGTCCCAGGGCAGAGACTCAAGGTCAGGTATATCCGGCTGCCTGTCAGTGGAAACCAGAACTGCTGGTTTAATGATGCATTACTTAATTCTTCTAATCAGTTATATAATATTGAGGGAAAATATCAAGAAAAATAAAATCTTAGACTTTTGACCCTAAGGTTCTGATGAGCCAAGGGTGTACCTTTCTGTCATTTCCCATCCAGTAATTTATAGCATTTGTGTGTAGATTCTGTTGACAGTATAATACCTAATGAGCTGGTGAAGTTAGTCTCATGCTGTACTCTGATTTCAAGTTGATTTTTGAATATCACAGTTGCTTCATGGGAATGAATTAGACATGATCTTCACATGTGAGGAATATTATTGAAAAACCAAACGACTTTTAAAGCTTCTTTACTTATGTGGAACCAGCAGAAATATTCATAACTTCTGCCATTAAAATAAGACAAATCAAAGGTGGTATATTAAAAAAAAACAAACCCCATGATCTGCCTGCATATAAAAGTAGAAGCCCTGACCACAGGTTGGAACTCAAACTATTAAATTACTTAAATCCACTGTGTAGTGCTTCTCCATTCCTTTCTTCCTCCCCAGGTCTTGCTCCTAGGCATTCTCCTTTACCTTTCTCTCCAATAATAAATTTGAAAGTGGGATGATCACATGGTTAGAAAATTTTAAAATAATGATTCAGGACTACACATAATGCCAAATTTTACTAAGTCTCAATTTTTACTCCAAGAATTAACTGGCTTGTCTTTCTGCTGACAGAAAAACATAAAATAACTGCATTCACAGTGTTCTCTCCTCTGCTTCTCCCCAATAAAGATGTGATGTGTTCATCTTAATTCTGAAGAGAAATCCAGTAGTGGAACCATCATCGTACCTTTACTATTTTGTTACACACTTACAGTTCTCTTGCCCTGATTTCCTAGTAAATACCACTGAACTCTGAATATTCTAGTAAAAATTCACATAGGGCAAGCATGCAATCCCTGGAGTCACACAACACAATGAGAAGGTATCATTATCCTCCTAAAGGTGAGGAAATGTAGTTTAGAGAAGTTAATTACCTCGTAGCTAGTAACTGGAGCTGCTGGAATTAGAACCCAGAACTGACCCAAGGTAGCTCTTCCTAGTGCTTTCCTGCTCTCCAAGTCACAGCTAACAAATACAAGGTTTTATTCCCAGAACTTGTACACAGCACCATATGCATTTTTTTTTTTTTTTTTTTTTGTACTGGGAATCGAACTCACGACCTCGTGAGCTTGTCAGGCAGGCGCTATGCTGCTGAGCAAAATCCCCAGCCCCATATGCATTTGCTCATACTT